CACAGACGGGGTCGTCTCAATATGCGTTTTTGCAATTTGCATATAGGCAAAAACGCATAAAAACTGCTTTTTCATTTCAAGCAATTTTTAGCAATCTCCTAATCTTTGCCCGCCTTACATTGTTGCGAACCCTTTTTTGTGCAGAAAATGAAAGATGACTTTTCAGCGATTGCGCTGCTAAATTTTACTGTTTTGCAGTTTTTGTGCCCGGTTCAGTCAACGGATCAAACGTACGAAAGCAAAACCAGTTTCACAGATAGCCATCGTGCAGATCTGAAAGAGCAGTGTGCGAATTCGGCTTTTGTAAGCAACAGCACTGAATGGCTTGGTCACTACAAAAAGTGCAGTAGACGGTGCTCAATTATATGTAGTTACTGCGATAAAACCTTTTCTACTCCTTCTTCGCTGAAGATTCACTTAAGGAAGCACACTGGCGAGAAACCGTACAAGTGTATACAATGCGATAAGTGGTTTGGAAAAATAGAAAATTTACGGGCGCATTGTAAAGTTCATACTGGTGAGAAACCGTTCAAATGCGTTCACTGCAATTCGAGCTTCGGCCGGAAAACACAATTAAGAAGACACATGCTTACCCATACTGGTGAGAAGCCGTTCAAATGCGATCAATGCAATTCGAGTTTCAGCCAGAAAGCACACTTGAGAAGACACATGCGTACTCATACTGGTGAAAAGCCTTTCAAATGCGACCGCTGCAATTCGAGCTTCGGCCGGAAAGAATACATGCAAGCACACATGCGAACTCATACCGGCGACAAGCCGTACAAGTGTCAGTTTTGCGCCACAGCGATGAGTAGCCGAAGTAGTCTTGTCCGCCACCAGAAAACCCACAACGGGAAAAACCATACAGATTCTGCCTTGTAAAGGTTATCAGATGGTGCTTTTTCGAGCAATCTTGAATGAGTGCTTCAATTGCCAAGATTAACGAAATCCATTTTAGCTGTATTACTTTTATGCTCCCACATGCTGGATGCAGCTACTCCAGGTCCTTTGGTCCCGAGTTGCAAACCTCCGTTAATATTCACCGTCTATCTGATGTGGTACGCAACCCCTGCGGAAATCGTCCTAATGGCAATTTGTATTTCTGAAATTGCCACCCACTAATGCGCGACGTCCAACGATTGTCAATAATGTCATCAAAATCCAGTGCCTTTCCGGAAAATGTGATCAACAACTTTGATTTCTAAGCAACATATACATTTCAAGCTTTGTTTCGCTTATGCATGTAACTGGAGTGAGTAAACATCGGAGCAAGAATGCAAATTCCAGAACCGTCATTTCTCTGTTCATTTTAGGCTCGTAGCAAAATGGTTCGCTCAGCTTGAACGGTCCTCTTGCGCTGTCTTTTTTATCAAAAAATGTATTTGGCATTTTCGAAGATACAGTGCTAATCCTCTCCCTCCTCGCCAGTCTGATCGTCTTGGCATTAACACACGCAGTTATACTTAATCCAGCCGCATATGTTAACGCATCGACGATTTTAAACCCTCCGCTAATCTCCAGGCCATGGATATTAATTATTTGTTTATATCTCTCAAATTTCCATAACATTCAATTTGTTCTATACAGATGACTTTAAAAGACAGTAGCATAACACCCTATCCTTTGACATTGCCTGTGACGTTTCTTGCTGTTTCTATGCTTTTATCAAAAATTTAACGAATAATTAGTGACGTGGCTGACATGCATTTTTGCTTGGCCACATGAAGCAATCCGATCGTTATCAGTATGAATGATCGTTGTTTTACAGTTTAATAACATGTTGTGACTGTTCTTGTTGGTG